CTTATGAACAGTAAAATTACAAATTTACCCCTCCTCATTTTAGCCTTGGGTGTTGAAATAAGTGTTGATTGTTTGGGTGTATGTATAATTATCTTATAAAAAAATACTAATTTTTTAGTAAATCCAATTCTTGAGATTTAAAAGTCCAAGGACATTTGAGTGACGGGAGACAGATCTCAAATCTCTCATGTGAGTTTTCAGACTATTTAGTTTGTATTTCCCAAAATCATTCTTAATTATATATACATGTATTTGTTCTATAATATATTTATTTATGTATATATTATAAGCATGAGTACTTATGTGCTGGAGGTCTTTGCATGTCAGAAAAGGTAAGCAAAACCAGCGTCACCGATAAAGTTTAATTACTACTAAGCTATCTTTTAAATGGAAAATGATAAGTTTACCCAAACTGTCAACACCCTCCGTTACACCTGACTTAAATTTCCGTTATTTCCGTTAATACACTTAACTCCGTTTCATCTTCGTCATCCATTATCTTCTTCCCTAACTCCAACCAGCGGTTCTCCTCTTCTTCGACTCTTCACTGTTCCCATGTCTTCTCCAGCATCGGCGCCGGCAGCAACACCATCACCACCGTTTGGCCACTGCTTTTCCTCACTTCTTCCTTCTTTTTCTTCCTCCCTTCTCCTTCCTTTCTTTCTCTTCCTCCATTCTCATTCATTCTCATTCTTTCTCTTCCTACCGCTCCATCTATTCCCCTTGCTTCTCAATAGCAAAGAATCCAGAAAATTTGGGTACTCATCAACCACTAGTAACCATCAATTTCATCCCATTTGGTTCTAGCTTTTTTTTTTCCCTTTTTTATCAGATCTGAAATTTTTTTTTTTTTTGCTCCAGCTCTCTCGGTGGAGAACCCGAGCTGGGTTCTAGACTCCTCCTGCTCCTCCTCCTCCTCTTCCTCCACCACTACCGCCACCAAGAAAACCACTACCACGACGGCCACGACCACCTCTAGCTCCACGAGTTGCTAGCCTGTCTAATACCATGGATCTTGCTGGCTGGAAAACCACTACCACGATGGCCACCGCCACCTCCAGCTCCACGAGTTGCTAGCCTGTCTGATACCATGGATCTTGCTGGCTGGAATTAGAAGGTCAAATTGGAGCAATAGAAACGTAAAGAGAGAGAGAAAAGAAAAAAAAAAAAAAGAAGCAAGAAAGAGAAAGAAGAAGATGGAACGGAGTTAAGTATATTAACGTAGATAACGGAAATAGAAGTTAGGTGTAACAACGGAGTGTGTTGTCAGATGGGTGTACGTATCAGCGTCCCTTTTAAATTGATCATTTAACTTCTTCTTCTTCTTCTTCTTCTTTTTTTCCAAAAATATGGTATAAAAGATTCAGTTTTTTTTTTTTTTTTTTTTTTTTTTTTTTTTTTTTAATTCATAGTGAAGGTCACATGTTGATTAAAAAAAAGGAGTAATGATGGGGATGAAAATTTAGGATTAATGACTTGACTTATATCATATATTATCAAATTAATTAATGTATATAATATTATAAGTCTTAAGAAATAAAAAAAATTAATTAATAAATAATATAAGATTTATTTTTTAATATTTTAAATAATGTAATTTAAATTTTAATCTCAGTTATTATTATTCTAAAAAAAGAGAGAAAAATAAATAATGTAATTTAAATTTTAATCTCAGTTATTATTATTCTAAAAAAAGAGAGAAAAATAAATAATGTAATTTAAATTTTAATCTCAGTTATCATTATTCTAAAAAGAGAGAGAAAAAGATTATACTTGAAATAAGTATTTTTTCTTTTTCTTTTTTTTTTTTTAAAGAAAGATATGTGTTAAAAAGATATTTACCAAATCTATATATCTTCTTCTTCTTCATCTTCTTTTTTATCTAGTCAAAGATATAAACTGTATCATTCAAGAAAACATACTTATTTTGTATCAACATAAAACCATATTATTAAATGGAACATGATGAATGGTGTGGATATTATATAATTTAAGTTTATCCGTTGTTTCTATTGTATATATATATATATATATAT